TCCTTTGCTTGTTTTACCACGTTTATTTTTACATTAATTTTAAAATGGAACTAAAAAGACAAAAATGGCAAATAGCAAAAAACACTAGAGCAATGCTATGACATGCTGACAGAAAATGGCACTTACTATGCTTAGCTCAGACTTGTAAAGGCTGTGTTCTTCACACTGAAGGCAAGATCTTATTACTGTCAACTCTACTGCACGTGAGAACGGGCCTATATTTACCCATTTATCATTACATATTTAAAATACGGCTACCAAAACAATGTAAACTGTTCTGATTCCTCCTTTAAAATGTGAGTGAAGTAAAGATGCAAATGTATCTCTTTTTTTTCCTGACATATTACTTTGCTGCTATGTAACTCTTTGGAGCCTGATTCTGATCTTATTTACATTTATATTTACACTGGTGTAAACCAGGAAAAAATTCACTGAAACAATTAAAAAAAAACAATGAGAGTGAGGAATACACAGTGATTAAACTCGGGTTACTCCTTAACTACTCCCACATCAGTGACAGTGTAATCACCCCCACAGGTTTTGCAACCAACTGGAAAAAGGATTCCAGAATGAAAAATGAGAGAAAAATGACTGAAGCATATTTTCTTTATTCCAGGATCTATTCAGTGATAAGATAAGGTACAAGTAGTACTCTACTATGAATATCTATCTAAAATGAAGATTAATATGAATATGTACACACAAAAAATGGTCTCGATCCTCTTTAAGTGCTATGTACTTTAAAGTCAAGCTTATTCAGCCTCCTGTATTTTATGACATAAATATTACAGAATATTTTCTAGTACATTATTAAGTGTTTTCCTTGGAACCGAACTACATCAGCTAGGACAATAAAGGATGTTTTTTGGGATAAATTGCTCCTCCATTTTTTCATACGCTTTTGGTCCATCTGATCACTCACGTTTAATACTCCGCAGTGTGTCTCCAGTAACGATTACAAGTTAAGCTTTATCTGATAGCTGGATCCAAAAGAGTGAATTATTGCATTTGCATGAATCTTATTTCAAACCTGTGACATTAGGGAGGTTGTACCATTACATATAAGGAGCTTTATGTATTCTTTGGTTGACACCAGCCATACAACTTAATACTAAGTAAGTCAAAAGAAACATTATCAATGATTTTGCATTCCCACTAACAGTTCAGTGTAGTTTGGAAAGATCAAAAGAGCTCTTCAGTTCTGGTATTGGGAGTAACTCTGAAGTTAGTATCGTTCCATGTGTACAAATACTATTCTTAATGCAACTCCGTCCAAAGGAGTACAACCTTTTCTATTCCTAGCCAATAAAAATACATGCACCTGGCCCTCAATTCTTCAGGTGAAATTTAAGCAAGTCAGTTATTCTGCAGCAAATTAAAATACTAATTTGAGTCAACATAAGAAAATTTCTAACTGCCCAGCAACATCTGAGGCACAAATGAAGTCACAATTTCAGCCCATATCAATTCACAAATTAAAAAAAGCCAGCCAAGAATGTACTCAAGGAGCAATATGCACAGCAGTATAACAGGATGGTACCTAGTGATATTCTTGGCTGATTTTTCATCATGTATTTAGGCTTTAAGGTATTTGGAGTAAACGACTGCCTGACAAACGTGCTGAGCTCTAACTGCATTGTTGAAATAATTGATGTAATTATCACCATCGTCAATACTCAAGAATGGAGAGATGACATAATTTTGTTCAAAAGCAGAATTTGAACTTTAAACATTTTTAGCAAGTGTCATTTTTTGTTTTCTTTCAAGGCATAGTGCGCATATGCCATTTTGTCTAAACAGGTGGGAAAACCACCAACAAAACATTTGGCAAGCAGTAGTGATGAGGATACAGATAAACTGTATTGCTTGCAGCTACCTCTGTGAGATGTGAATGTGGTGAGGGCTGTAAACAGGGAAGATCCCTGGATGTTATGATGATGTAGACTCTTGAACTGTGCTAGAAACTGCAGGCTAAGCCTTCTAGAGGAATCCTTCTGTTGACTTCAATGAGAGTTGAATGAAGCTACATAAGCTGCAAAGCAAATGCAGCTGGAGACTGGTTTGGGTTACTGACCACAAGAGAACTGGCTGATCAGGATTATATTCAGGGGAAGAGTTTACTACAGTCTCAGGTGGAGGTTGAATGGCTCAGACAATTTAACATCAGTGTGGTACTAATTATTCTGAAAACAGTATTATCAAGGTATCTGATGATTTTAGTATTTTTTATGCAGCTGATAAATAATTTATAGAGAAAGCTTAGGATCCATTTTACTGCTCATTTCAGAATAAATTTTTTCTTTAAATTGCTTGATTTATAAAGTAATAATTTTAATCTTGAGATATTTGGCAGATCATCTTTGTACATTAGATCTCTTCGGAAGTTTTGCTTACCAATAGTGCTGTTAATGTGGAATCTGATTTGTCTACCCTTGCTACTCTTCTCTTTCTCTTTTTTTGGTTTACACTTTCCATTTTGAACTGATATATAGAGAATGTGAGATATATGTTTGAAAATCCATTAAATTAATGAAATTTGGAACCGTGCTGTAAAAAACATTTACTTTTTCATTTGTTACCTCTATTTAAAGAAAAGTGGTGAACATTCAGGGTAAACATCCAACTACAAAACAGACAACGCTCTAGAGGTCAAGAAATAAAATTTGAGAGAGAGAAAGAACAAAAAAACCCTTCAGGAATACGCTTGAGCTAAAAAACATTCTGGTGTTTTCCTCACCTGTTTAAGCAAGGCGACATTTGTGATGACAAGAAAATGACACTTGCCTGAAATGTTTGAAATTCAAGTTCTGCTTTTAAAACTTAGAAGCACAATATTTTTACAGCTCTGACAATTGCGTAACTTGCAAAGGATTTCCTGCAAGCCCAGGAAATCCTCTGCAGTCCCACTGGTACTTGATCTACCACCACACTGTCTCCGTTCTTCAAAGTGTCATGGCTTGGATTGCTGGGAGGCTGGCTGATGCTCATGTAAGAGCAAACACCTTTACAAGTCAGGAACTTTGATCTGCTAAACTATGGACTATGCTAATCAGATTTTCTTAGGCAAAGGAACGAAAGAATGTGGCAAGGGGCAGGGCTAAGCGATCTGATACTATGGGCCTCTCAACACAGCCATGTCACACATGTATTTTCAGACCTGGTGAACATATGTGCTATCAAGAGTAGAAAAAGGAAATCATTAACTCTGTAGTTGTCTGTTGATGCTGCATTATTTGAGTCCAAACATTGATAAAGTCTCAAGAGATGCTTTTTATCATCTAAAAATTTGTCAGATATTCCAGCTGTTAAACATTTGCCTTTGCAGTCAATACCAGCCACAGAACAGTTCAGAAATATTGATAAATAGATAGTAGTCTCCTTAAAAATAGCCTTATTTTTTGTTTCATATTTTAAAATAGAAAAGCATCTTCATTGAAGAGAGTTTGGAGATTTATTTCCACAATTTTTTGTTTTAATCCTGTATGATGAAAATAATAAATAGCTAAAACCAAATAAAATTGGGTTTTATGTGGTTTTGGCTACCAAATCTGTTTGGGGCTTACTTGCCTGTGTTCTGGCCAGAAGCTAAATCTGATTCTTCTGTCAGATGTTTTGTAGCAGTATGCCCTCCAGAAAGTCTGGCAAAAGTAGAGGCAGGCAGATAGCAAGGTACGCAGGTGATTTTCTTTTAGGCTGAATTCCTGGCTGTGAGAAAGGAGTAAGCTATGTTCCCCAAGTGTCCCTCCATATCGTTACTATTATGTTCCCTTCCATTCAAACCTTCCCCATGATTTGGCAAATGTGAAGCAGGTATGGAGGAGAAAATCTTTGGGTTATGCCTGGTCCCTTTACTGCTCTTCTCTGGCAAGAAGGTCTGTCGCTGAGGTCAGCCAAAGGCTGCGGCAGTAATTTAATCCAGCCATTGGCATCACTTTCCATTTTCCTGCTAGAAGAAGCCTCTGCTGAAGACCGATTGAAGGAACTTTCTGCAGCAGATATCCGAGAAGGATCTGTTATCTAGGAAAGTTTCTGTGAGCAATTTTTGGGATGGGTAATGTCTATGTTACAGAGGATGCATGTAGGCACACTGTAAAAAGTCTACTCTAGGGCATCTCACAAAGTTGACTTCAAGATCCAAGACTTCACAATTGGAAATCAAAGGAAGCAAACGGGTGGATATCACTCTGCAAAGAAGCAAGGCTTGGAATACCTAACAAGGTTTTACGCTGGTGGTAAAATATGTGATTCCCCTCAAGGAACAATACCTAACCTATTAACAATGATGAATGAAGGCCCAACCAAACTGTAGACCAAGAGCTGTGGAAGCCATCTCTAGCCAGACAGAGCCTGGTGCTACAACAGACAAGGTAGAGTGACACTGACTGGCAGAGAAATAGGTCATCTGTCTTTTGGAGCACATCATGACTCAGAGTCCCACAGCAGAAATACACCTGTGTTTTGATAAATATACACCTCTCTTCACTCCCCACGGATTTCTTCTCAAGTTCTTGTAATGGCACCCTCTCAGCTACACAGAGCTTTCAAAAGTTTTGTTGCAGTGGAGCATGTGTGACTTTAATACAAATAATGAACAACAGTGCTCCCACAACCACGATCATCAGAAGAAAATCTTGCCTATTTTCATCAGCAATATAATACTATGTAATGGCACAAAAAATAAGGCTCATAGCTCACACAGTACCATTTGTAAATCATAAAGATCTGTGAGGAAACGCAGAGCAGAAACCAAAACATGAAAGCCTCACAAACATCTATGATATTAGGCAGCTTTCCATTATGACAGACTTGCCCAAATTATCTATCTCCAAACGCTGTGGGCCTGATTCTCTTCTCTTGCCAGCACAAAGGAGAATTTTACCAAAGTCAGTTGTTATTTCCCTCCCTACACCTTGTCAAACTGTCATGAGCTCCAAACACAACAGACTCAATAGGTGTAGTTCTGTTCCATTGCTAGAAAAATACCACCTTGATGAATCACATGATTTTTCTTTTTTTTTAAATCAACCTCCAAAATGATCGCTTATGGCAGGTTTCAGAGAGAGGAAAATTCCCCCTTTAAGCAGATCGAACTCATTATCCACTGCAGATTGTTGCTGGATTTCAAATAACCTTTTTTTCCTCCCACAGAACTCCCCCCCTGTATTTAGGGCTTAATTATGAGTTAACAACATAATTCCTGCTATTTATTTATTTTTTGTCAGAACTGGTCACTACATTACTGATTTTTTTCTCTGTCTCTCTTCAAAAGAGCATGCAAACAGAAGTCTCCTTTTTGGGGATTTAATGCAGGCACTAACATGAAAGACAGTTTATTCGCACAGTTCAGTAGCTAGCACACCCTCCAGGTTCTTGGACTACCCTACCTTGGCAGACAGACTCTGTGGTTTGTTGGAGAGGATCTCTGCTGCTTCCCTGCAGCGGGTGGAAAGGTTCAGGATAGCAGCAGCTGCTGCTATGTGGGTGTCTTCACTACATTGACCGTAGCTATAAGAGTTGGCATGGCAAGGGCTCTGTGTGTGGGCGCTAGCACTAGGCAGTCGATTAGAAAATTTCACTGGATTTGAAAAATGCTTTGCTGTTGAAGAGAGATTTGATTAGCAATTGCACGAATGAGATTTTTCCCATTAAATAGTTTTGTTTCTCAGACTACAATTTCATACATTAAAATATTCAAAGAATACATTTTAAACAATCCATTTCCTATTGGCAGTAAGGGTTTGCTGTAAAAACGGCTTCAGAAACACGACGATTTAATTTTTACCTGACAAATACACATCTTTCAACAAAGCATCCAAGCCTTTTACTCAGATATTACTCATTCTTTACTCAGGCATTAAAAGCAATGATGTCCAAGGAAAGACTGAACAAGTGTTAGTGTGCTATCTGTCGTGATATGACAACACTGGTGGGCAAATGCAATTGTAAATGTATCCTTATAAAGGCTTTCTCTTGAAGCTCTATTGTGTGAAAAAACCAACAGTGACTTGTCCAGTCTTAGCTAGAACAACACTGCTTACCCTACTTAAATGAATAAGTCTGTTACTTAAATAGCTTTGCTTATGTGAGTAAGGAGAACAGGACCAGCCTCTTGAATGAACCGGAGCAATCAGATAAGAACATTACCTGTTAGGAATATTCAGTCCTGATTCTGTGGACATTTTTAGAAATTTAAGTCTACCCGTTAATCAATTAAAAAAAAATACAATGAACATTCAGAATAAAACTGATCTTGTCTCACTGTCTTATGTCGGCTGTCATTTCGAATAATACACAGATTTATCAGGCACAAAGAGGTGAGTTGAGAATGAAAAACTAACAGGTGAACAGAAAAGCACTTTAACGGACTAAAGTGGTTTGTGTGGTTCTTTGTTTTCTGCTCCATCAGCAGCACTTACTCTAAAACAGGTAGAAAGAGCTCTGCTCTCTGTTCTGGATTTTGGAGCTTGAGATGTCATTAACTGGTGCAGAGAGAACACGGCACCCTGATTTCAGCTCTAAGGAAGCAATAATCACTTCTTTCGTCTGTAACTCTCACAGTGTCCTACAAAGATAAACTAAGCAAAATCCAATTTCTCAGCCTACGACCAGATACACCAAGATCATTTCTGTGTACAGCCATCTGCTCGCTCCATAAAGATCTGAGCCCCAAGACTCTGGATCCCTTTGGATGTAGAGCTTTGGCTGAGTTCATTTTAATGCTAAGACCTACACAAGACATTGAAGAACTCATCTTTCCTCAAACTTGAGATTCTCTAAGAGAAATGTTTGTTTATGTGCACTGGCTGTAGCTGAATGCCGTATTCAGTTTTTCTAAGTACTGGAGGCATTTCAGCAGAGCAATACATAAAAGCCTCACGATTCAGTTCTCCCTTTCTCCGGTGCAAATGAAAAAGGATTTATCTACCCTGCTGTAAAACTGCGACACAAGCAAGAGGGTTTACTTTTTTCGCAGTTACTATAGCTAACTTCGAATTATATTTAAAGAGCAAAAAAGAGCATTTTCCATTATCTACCCTAAAAGATTAAGAAAAAAAAAATAAAGCAGGCTATGAAGTTTGCATGTTTTGTTAACAAATCAAGATTATAAGTGCAGAATCCCCAGAGGGCTAATGATGGGCTTTTGGCTAGCTACATATTTACATAGGACGTTGAACCAATTGCTACATCATCAGCTTCTTATTGCCAACTTCTGTATATCTGCATAGTTAAAGCACTCACCTGCTCTTACTTTCACCTTTCCATTAAAATAGTAGCTGCACACTGCAATCTTTGCAAGAACAACAGGCTGTAAACTTCAGCCCTGATATACATTATACATAAATTGCTTATGTATGTATTTGCATTTGTATAAAAACATTTCAATCATTTTTTCCTTGAAGTGAACCTGTGAAATAGACATACATCTGTACAAAGAGACAGCTAATAAGGAATGCTCAATTTTACAAACAAAATTGGAAAATCTGCCACCCAAGAAGCTGGCAATGCACATATTTGCTTTCATTTGAGCAAGCCCATTTTCCAGGCCAGATAAATATCTACTTTTCATTTGCAATTGTAAATAGGATATTTATATATACACACAAACACATAGATACCTACAAACATATATATGTGTGTGTGTACTCAGACACATACACAAATAAATATATAAACATGCATTTTTATGAATATATAAACCATATATAATATTATTTAGTATTAGAAGTATAATATCTTATAGTATATTATATATGTATATATACCTATGCAACATTTTCTGCTTTTCTGTTCACCTTTGTAGAATGAATGTTCTCCTTTGTTGGGTGTTGTGGTTTAACCCAAACAAGGACAGTTGGGACAAGTGAGATGCAATTTATTTTCCTTTTTTGTTTTCCCTTAATAAATATTTTCTCATAAATGAAAGAAAAAACAACTAAGGAGTCTTTTGTCACATTGGTTTGGATCTATTATCTTCTCAACCCAAATATGGTGCAATGAAACTTTTTTCTCCATTTCCATCAGGGCAACAGAATTTTTTGCTTCTTTGAACTAAAGAACATTGTATGAGGGTCAATATAATGCCAGAATCTTGCTGAAGTTTCCCATGCAGATTGTGAAGAGCATCTGCAGTAAATAATCAATGTTCACACTGTGGTACCTCGTTTACAAAGAGTAGTACCTCAGCAAATCTGTAAGTGATGCAAGCAGAGGAATCTTGGTGACAATTTAATGCATTGGATATGTCTGTGCTACAAATATGATATAGTACAGAAATATGAGATATCGATCCTGATCTTGCAGCCAAGGCATATGGTCATGTAGGAGGAATAATGCCTATATAGATGCATCTAAAAGGTATCTGAAATGCCTTTGAAACCTAACTCGGATTTCTCTGTACTACAATTCATTATGTCTTGTGCAGATACATTCCACGGGACTTCCCAGGGCAGCATCCTATCACATAAAGATACCAAAATTTAGCCAGGGAAGAAGGTAATAGATAAAACATAAACCATTCCTTTTTACTCCTCTTTTCCCCTGAAAATTGCTTTTAAAAGAAACATCAAAAAAGTAAACCTTATAGTGATGATACTTTGCATTCTAGCATTCTATATTTAGCAAACTAGTGATTATATTCAGCATTCTGGCCACAAGCAGTTAAAGATGCTTCCTACTGATATTTTCTGAATTCTAGATATTTGAAAGCAGAACAAGGAAAAAGGTAAAAAAAAAGTAATTAACATTTTGCCCATTTTCCAAAAGATAATGGAATTTCAAGCTTACTTTCAAGGAACTGGGGTGTTTTTCGTCCTTGTGCCACAGGTGCTGTTGTGCGTTTGCCAAAGACTTGTGCATCGAAGCTGGCATAATCGAATGGTACTTTCCCAAACTTCTCCTGTTCTTTCCCCAGAATGACTCTGGAGGAGATGACTGGCTGTGAAGTTCTGTAATTGTACTGAGATCCCTCAGGCTGCTTCGCTAAATTAGTCCTGCAGAAAGGAGGAAAAGACTGAATCAGAAAGACAAGAATATCTTTAAATAACCTTTTCTTGAAAAATAGAATACAGTTGCATCTCAGTATCAGAAAGTGTGCTGTTTTCACATTACTGGGAGGTGTATGCAGGAAATAAATAACATAAATACGGCGACTGACCTAGTAGTCAAAGAGTACTTTGACTTCATACAAGTTCAAAGCTGAGAATATAAAAAAATCTAGTATTCTTTAGTAACGGTGTGAGCTATTAACAAGAAAGATACTGACTGACTTCTATATTACCACTGTAGCATGATGCTTCCTTTATTTCTAAAAATTGTCTTGATTTTTGCTAGTCAAAGGATAATTGTTCTCACTTTACTGTGAATGAGTGTGGTGTAAATACAATATAAGATGATCCAAAATAATTGCTTCTGTTATTTGGGAGGAACAAATGATTTATGGTGTGTTATTCCATTTAGTTACTGTTCAGTAACTACTTGTCTTTAGTAATTTCCTAAGGACTTTTCATATGTAGAGTTAAGGCACGTGCAGTTGGCAGACACATGGACATAATATTCTGTAATGGCTCTGAAGGAACCATTAGAGCTGATCATGTCAATAATCCACAAATTAAAGTGTCCCCAAATAGACCTGAATATAATAGGTTGTAATGGTCGTGGTGCCAATGATGTGCAAATTATGCATGTCTGTAGGGTCCATATAACTCTCAAACAAAATACAATTGCAATAAAAAATGTTTCTCCTTTTTGACGCCATTGTATATATAAAAAAATTAAACTAATTAAACCAATAAACTTAAAATAAAGAAACTCAAAATACGAATTATTCAATGGTGGGGAAACAGAACGAGCAGAGGTCTCAACACTTTCAGATAACATGCTACTCACTGGATCACTGGAAAATCCTCTCAAAAGAATCACAAAATAAATGAAGACTGACCTGATAAAAGCGCAACAGAGTCAAGGAGATCCTTAATCAAGTTACACTCACCAAAACATTGTAACCAAGGAACACTTCTTAAAAATTGTTTAAAACGTTTCGATAGGAGGCTTGGTTTACAGGAGAAAGACATTTGAAAACCATGAAGTTATTTGTGTTGAAGTAAGATTTAGTAGAATATATTTGATTGCCTTTCAAAAGATCAGCCACATGCACAAGAACCAGCAGAAAACCGCCTGTTAATTTTGACATATGGACAAGTTATTTAGCTTTGCGCAGGTTCATCTTGGAAAACTGAGTTACCCCTGTAGCTGAAATCTGAAATGAGGGAGAGACCTGAGGACTGATGAACAGAGTTTGTGCAGAAATACTTTGGAGAGACTAGTTTGCGAGGGCTCCTACCTGTGAGTCTGATCATGGCATTGCCCAGCTTTTGGAGACTCCAGCTGATTCTTTTCCTGGGACATTGCCAACTTTTCAGCTGCAGCAATCGGGCAACCAGAAAGACTATTTAAAAGCAAGGTGAAGAAAAGAAACAAGAAGAAAAAAAAGAAGTTAAAATAAAATCTTAAGTAAAGGCTGTGAAACCCAGCGACTTCAAACTCTCTGCTGCCCTGTAAATCCATGGGAGCTGCTGCTACTATAGCCCAGATTCATCTGTTTTTCAATCCTTAATACAAAACTGTGAAATCTGTGTATTTGAGGTGATATATCTGGAAATGGAATCATGTAGGAGTTTTCCACAGTTCAGCTTTGATGTTTTGTGGCTGGCAAGTCACTAGTAAATTTTTTGACAAATGACATTTACTTTATCAGCTAAACCATGCATATAAGCCTCCTGCTGATTAAAAGGAAAGTGAATTTGGGAAAAAACAGGGGTATGTGAGTGGCTGTTACCAAAGAACACATTTTGTCATTTCAAGTTGTGCTTGCTTTTTTTTTTTTTTCTATTTGCTTTATTAGATTAGAATATGTTTTCTCATCCTATTTATGGCTTGCTTATGTTACAGCTGATGTGCTGCAAAGATGGCCAGGGATTTAAAACGGGTAACACAATTTAAAAATATTTACTGATTCCTTATATATTCTTGTAGAGGATCTTGTAATCTCTCTCTGGTAAAGACTAACTTTTCGTATTAAAGATAGTAACATAGCATGATCATCTTTGAATTTGATGTGCTCATACAATAACCAATCAATCAATCATCAGCAAGAAAAAAGAAAATCTCACAAAAATTCTGTTCAACAAAGAAAGTTGATTTTGAAATTTTTATGTCCCAAGTTTGATTATAAGATTGACGTTATGTTTTTCCAGAAGTGCTATGATGGAATATTTTGTCTTGCTGGCTTCCAGCAGAAAGCAGTACTGACAAGAGCCGTGCCGACAGCAGTGGCTTGCTGGAGACAGAGCGCGTCGGCTCTCTGCCTCACCTGCATCCCAGCTGTGATTCCCCAGCTGCCTGTCTGGAAGGCTTTTCTCAATTATACTTTCTCCCTGCAGGCAGCAAGTTAAACAGATAGGAGTGTTCCAAGCGGGAAGATGACATTCCTGAGGGTAATAAATTGAGTTAGTTTTCACAGGGATTCTAAAATATTCCACTTAAAATTTTCTGTTTTACTAAAAGAGAATGTGCCTGGATGGGAAGTTCCTGCCAAGGACTGCCATGTATGCAGTGCAAAATGAAGAGGCTTTGGTTTCCACTGGATTTTCCAGTTGTAGCAATAGTACTGTATTTCTTCACTCCTACCCCTTTTACATAATGATGTTTCACTGTGCAGATTGTGATGAAATTGTAGTTTGAAATCTCATCTGTGAAAAATATTAGTGGAATTTGCCATCCTCTGTCCTGCAGCCATTTTTTTATATAATGAAATTAAACACAATTATTTGGTCATAAATAATACAGAATACCCTTGCAGATTATAGGCATTCTGAAGTGTAGTACATAGCATCTAATTCCAAGATGTGATAACAATTTGCTCCCAAGGACATGTTAGATCTTAAGCAGACAGGAAATTTTCTGATCTACCTTCTGTGCGTGTTGCGATTGCTATTGACATGTCCTCTTCCAGTGCATCCTGGGGTGGGGCACTTTAAAACATTTTCATGCATGGCAAGAACTAAATGGGAGTAAAGAAATAAAAAAGGTGATAATAACATGCATCAATTAAAAATATATATATTAAAAAAATATGAACATTTCTTTATTGGACTCAGATTCTCAATTCTGTCACATTTTGACCACAAAAGAAAAAGAGAAGCAAAAGACCTAAAACACAGCAAGGCTGGTGCCTCCAGCATATACCGGTTTATCCCTATATTGCTGTAGTATGGCTTCCCACAAGCACATCGTTGTTTCTAGGGGCTTTAAAAGAGCAAAGGTGGAAGTTAGCAAGGATGTTACATCATGAAGCACTTTGCCTTCTGATTCATGCTCCACAATCTAGAAAAGACGTGTGATAGAGGAACCCTGGGCCACACACGTGTTCTGTGTAGCTGCAGTCTGTCTCAGGGAGGGCAAACTCTCAGATACAGGAAGGCTTGTTATGCCTTGCACCTGAGTAAGATGATCTGATCTGAGTATATCCCCTTTGAACTCTGATACCTTCTGATCATCCGAGCTAAGCTGAAACTACTTTAGACCAATTGGTCATGATCCCAAGCAGCAGCTTACACTCTCAGCAGTGGTTACAACCTCTTGCATGTACATTTCTTACGTCCTTTGATGTGAATCATCTTTACCAAGACTGAGATGTGTGCCTGTGTTAAACAGAATATGTCTTTGTACATCTGCCCTCGTGACTTCAGTACTGCGTTGCCCCTTTGGGTGCACAGTGCTTGAAAAAAGCTGACTGTTCAGTCAGCTGGTTTGTTCTGTCAGGAACGAAACTATGATTTATTTATTCTTTGCCAGCGGGACAGAACGCCTCTGACTGGAAGTTTGATAATAATACGGACTTGTTAATTTTAACTTTTTAGAAAGTTAATGCTGCTACGGCCTTCCAAATGCAGCAGCCTGTGTAACTCAGCAGATGTTTCCATAAATACAGTTTAGCACCAGATTTTAAAAAAGAAGAGAATTACAGTTAGGAATAGTATGTTGGTAAAGTGCAAGTATCCTTTTAATTTTTTGTTATGCATGCTAACAAATGCATGCATAACAAAACCAATCTGACTAACTAGGTTGTTTAAACGAATAGTTTCACTTTAGGCTTTGGCTTATTATGCATCATTTCATTGCATCACATTGCAGGATTATACACACACACACACAAACCAATGTAATCAGATCAGCACAGTTAGAAATAAGCAAGGAAATTCAGGCTAGACTGGGCAAAAGGCTACGATACAGCAAGATACAGTCATACGAAAGGGACCTGCTGTGGACCAATGCTGGGATGTACTGATGAAAGTCATCTTTTTGAGCTTGGTGGTAAGGGGGACGCTGGAAACATCTCTGAACAAGCATGCCCGGGCCACTCAGTCATTGGCAATGAAAATCAGCAGCCTGGGTGTGTGATTACGGCAAATCAGGTCGCAGCTCTGAGACAAGCAGGCCATTTCTGTGCTGCATGCCTCAGCAAAGGCATGGGCAAATGAGATCTTGAAGATTCATGAGACCACAGCATGCGGGTCTGCTGGCAGGGTGGGGGTAGTTTGGCTCTGATTTTACTCTTCCCAGGCCACCCAAAGAGCCTGCTGCTGGTTGCAATGGTACTGCTTAGGAGTACTTGAGCTTCACAGGAACTGGAAGTAGGGCTGTGACAAAGAGCTGGAGGGTAAAGAAAGTGAAGGCTCCTCTCAGCCTCGTTTGCAATCTCACATAGAAAAAGTGGGTTTCTCCTCCAGCATGAGCACACACTACCCACAACACTGGGCTAGATCCAGTTGTTATTCTGGACTGCAGGGAGTTGATACTCACTTTCTAGTGGCACTCTAACTTTATGTGGACAGCCTGAGAGACTGCGGTGGTGAGGGTACAGCCCAGTCACGTGCCCTGTGCCATCACATCCTGGGATGGGACATTTGGTTTCTCTCTTTTCAGGCCTGGGTGAATCTGCAGAGAAATCAGATAAGGATTTTGTTTGTGTTTAGCCCCTGTCTGCACTCAGCTGAGCGATCCTAGCAGCGTGATACTCTCTATTTTGTACTTCAGATGTAATTCCTAAACAAAGTTTTAAGAGAGACATATGTGATTTAAGCATCGCCTTAGATTTTCACAGTGTCCTTTAAACAACGGCTCCCCCCTCCCAATATGCCATTTATGTGCTAAACTACATAGCTTAAGGATTGTGATGTCATTTATTCCATTCAGAGCCTCAAACAGGACAGAAGCCACAATCCAATAAGCCAGAAAACTGGCATCATCAGCCAACAGCAAGATCTATAAAGGAATAAATAAAAAAGCAGAAACAATCTTTTACTCCGTTAATGTCAGACTCCAGGAAGCTGGGACAACCAAATAAAAGCTGAGGTGTGAAATAAACAAACAAACAAACAAAAAGCATTTCAACCAGAAGCCATTCCTTAAATATCGCAGATCTCTAGGCTGTAGGTTCTTTGTTAGGAAACTGAATACATGCCACTTTACATTTGAGAGGCAAGGCAAGCAGCTCCCTCTGGTACACATGGCAATGCCGCTTTGTGGAGCAGCCCACAATGACAGTGAAAACATGGAGCAGCCGATACCCTTTCAAAGGCGAGGTCTCAGCCCAGCCCGACAGCTACCACTCTGTAACGGCCGCAGCGCATTCCCAGTTTTTATTTCAAGCACCTAGAATTGTGCAAGAAGCACTGGTCAGAAAGCCTTTATTCGATTTCCAATGCAGGATCAAAAGTCTGGGCGAGAGAGGAATGAATCCTGGTCCAGAAATTCTCTTGTGAGAAATCTGGAGGAAGCGGCCGCATAAATTGCTGAGGATGGTTTTAGCTCCATCTGTGATTGGCTGCCAACAGCATTCGGCTCTGGGGGAGAAAACAGCTGCAGCCAGCACAGGGAGCAGCCTCCTTTGAGCTCGTTTTGTTGGACCGCTTAGGGACAGGATCGCCAGAGACAGCTGAGGGTTAAACTTCCTGGCAAGACTTTAAGTTAATAAAAAAAAAAAAAAAGAAATAAGGAGGGAAGAAAATAGGCTGAGTATCTACAGGAGACCACATGCTTTTTTAGAGTCACTGCAAATGGAAAGTGCTGCAATAGTGGACAGAAAATAAAGAGGGACTCTGAAATAGGACTTAACTTTCCCCCCACTAATTGGAAAGGTTTATCATTAAAAAGATCGAAAAATACACATTTAAGGCATTTTTTTTCTGATGTAACATCTAAATAGAAAATTAGGAGCTGATGGATTTGATGGTTGATTTTTCAGAAATAAAACCCAGTTAATTATGCAAAGTGAAAAAATTATGTGCCTGATACTATATTGACTAAAATCATATGGTGCTTGTACAATCTGAACAAAGCCTAGTTTGTTCCTCCATGAATGTTAACGCTAAACTCACCTGCAAACTGCAGCTAATAACAATATGAGGCAAATCACGAAGGGCCAAATTCTGCTGTGCTTACTTACTATCACTGCTCCTTCCTATGTGTGCTGTGAGAAAGTCACATTGACTCCAATGTGAACCTGGTGAACACAGTTGATCTCAGGACAAGAAAAGGTATCTGTAAAATTCCTGCATATACCATAACCGTCTGAGCAAATAAAGATTCACGTAGTTTAGCAAGGAGTTAGACTAATACTTTGCACGCGCAGCTTAAGACATGCTAATGCAAATGAGCTGCATGCATATTCTTCCCAAATGCTACAGGAAATATTGTATAGTTGCAACTCCTAAAAAAATTTGTCAGTTATTGTATAAACTAAATGCTTTAGATAACTAAACTATGATATTTGCAATGTCCACAGGGGCTACTCTGAAGTAACACTAGAAATATCAAAGTAAATCTTTCATCAAAAGCAGAAATTTCAGCAATGCTGAGGTGACCTCATTATATGTAGAAGCCTAAACGGAAAAGTCAAAGGACAGATGAATGTATTGTTACTTACTACAGCAGCCAGTGTGCTTATAAAATGACATCTTTTGGTGTTCTGTAATTATTCTCAATTGAGAAGTTTCATACGAGACAGCCCAGTTTACAAATCAAACTCAAATCTTTTAGATCTCCACTTCTGGAAGCCCAAGTATGTACCGAAAATGGAGCAATGCTCCTACAGGTTCATAGGATGCTGCAAATCATCAGAAACAATAAAGATTTTGGAACTTACTGATAATTCTGCTGGTGGTGAATGAGGCAGAAGAGCACGGCTTGTGCTTTCCTGGCTCAGTAGTGCTGGCTGTAGCAAAATGTAATGTTGATACGTGAAGCAGACTGAACTCGGAAAACGCATGGCTTAGGAATTAGGTGGTATGTTTGGAAGAGGCCAATTTTTCACCCTAACCTTTCCTTAAGCACCATTTTAATGCTTTCCCTCTTGGCTGCTGAAATTTAGGAGGTACGTATTAGCGTTCTATGGAGGAGGAGGCAGAGGAGGAGGAAAAGGAGGAGATGGAGCATCAGTGCCAGCTACACAGGCCTTTTAGTAGCCGTTACTGATCATTTCGCATAGCGCTTTGGCAGAAAGCCAAGTACCTAGCGCTTAACCTGGTTAGCTGTAAGGCACTAGTGTGAAGGTACATAATTAACAAAATTACCAGCTAAATTCTAGATTCTTTACTGTTGCAATAAAACCCAGCTCAGAATCCTCTATCAGTCACAGGATAAATGCTTAAGCCAGTAAGAACAGCCAATTATACTTCCTTACGTTTGTTGCTAAATAGCTGTCTCCCACCAAGGTCAATAACTTTGGTTTGTCTCCTTTCCCCTGCTAGGTGCTCCAGGAGAAACCTATCCAGTTCCTTGTAGGTGCTGTGAAACACGTGCCCTTCCTCTGCCTGCAGAGCGATTGCTTGTTCTAGCAAGCTCAAGTTCCCTTTTGTTTTGTCCAGCTCAACTGACACTTCTGTGGTTTCTGACAGGCACTCGTTGTCATCTTCTTCACTTTCAGGGAAGGGATTCTGAATTCTCTTCTCGAAAGGATCTGGGTGAGACTCCTGGGGTGCTCTTAACTCTGTTTCTGAGTCACAAAGTGTTTCACAAGGGCCAAATTCTACTTCTTCCTTCTTAATTTCTGGGACTTCCAGGATGCTAGGTTGATTACACTCTACTATATACTTCTTTACATGAGGCTTTACACTAGTTTCTTCTGAGAAATTTGAGGAGCTATCCCACTCGTCCATAATTTCAGAGTTACTTTCATTTTCCTCAGATGAACAGTATTTTGGGTCAGAAATAACAGTCTTTTCCTTTTCTTCAGATGAGTTAATCATGTAACATTCATCAGTGTCATCACTTTCTGTTTTTAAGGATTGAATGCCGCTATCATTTAGATTTTCTGTCACTGTTTGACTGGGTGCATCTTTTGCTAGTTTTCCCATGTTCATCAAAGATTTGGCTACTGCATCTTGATAGCTGGAGTAGTTATCTTTTCTTTGACTGGAATTTTCTTGCCCACCTAAATGAAGGGTTTCCTCAGATGATTTTGGAGTACTTTCTTCTGCATGAGAAAAAAGAAAAGAAAAATATGTAAGAATAACTGTTTTTTGTGTCTTGCAGAAGTGATATGAAGATATTTACTTACCAATCTGTTTCTTTACTCAAAGGTACTCTGAAATGATTGAATTCACCAAGACTGTGTTTGAAATAACTGCTTGTAGCATCAGGAAAAGCCCTTCTAAGATTATATCTACTTTATATTATAGCTCCAAAGCTATGTGAGAAATAAACATGTTGCCTTTTTTCACTGATGGTGAAAACGTATTATTTTAGGACACATACACATTCATGTAAGTTCATATAGTTATAATGTGCCATATATAGATAGATATTATATATACACACTCTCTATATAATAAATGCATATATATATATACAAGCATGCACACATACAATTTTAAAATTCCTCTGATGTATTTTCACTTTTCTTTCATATAAAATTCCCAAATATTTTCTCAAAATAGACCCTAATTACTTTTCCAATCATCCCAGATCCTATGAAAGACCTTAATGGAAAAAGACTCAATACTTCACAAAGGGCAAGCTCCTGGTCACCGTTGCAATTGCCACATTAAGTGATAGATCAGGTCATGCACAGGCAAACAGCAATGGTTGTTATGTACGGACTCATAAAGGACTTGTTAAAGACACCACTGAAGTGCATCCTGTCTTTATAAACATCTTTCTTCAGAAGAAAAGCAGCAGCCAGCAGGTAATAAAGGCTGCATGTACGAGAGGTTGTCGGTGTGGAAGACAATATGTCTTTTGTATCTCATTTAATTTTTTATAAACATTTCCTCTGACAAGGACACTCAAAAATACATCTCCATCATCTTCCTTTCTGGTAATTATCTCTCTAAAATCAACACTGGTTTGCCAGGATCAAGTAAATATTGCCATAGTAACTAAAAGCATTTTTGGATGAAGGGAAGAATTTAGTCACAACACTAGCCCCTTCAATAATGCTGATTATAGGGTACATTCTTTTGTTGGGATCTATTCAACATAAACTGAAAAATTTAACATTTTACTTCCTAGAAAGGAGGACGAATAAACAAGCACAGACTGTTTCATAAGATGTGTCTGTCCTCTCCTGATTCAGAAGAACTCCAGGTTTAAATAATAAATTAAGCATAGTCTAAAATGCAAATGAAGTTTCTCTCAATAACACAGTGAGCTATTAAGAGAAAGTGTAAAGGGTTATGATAATTTTAAAGTATTATGAACTACAGAAAACAAATAAAAAGCATTTTCAGTGAATATGTCCAATTCATTGAACTATTCTCTCAATCCACTTAACTACCCACATGTGTACAATAATGATTTATAGACATTATACCTAATTATGCATATTTGGGCTGTGTTAGAGTGCCTAACAAAAGCTCTAGAAAGCAACAATTACCTCTGTTGCTTAGCTACATAGTTTAAAATATTCCTATTAAGTGCAGATTATTGTGGAGGGGAAAAGGGGGACAAAAATGCACATGTGCACCACAATGCATTTCACTTTACTGCTGCCAAACTGTTAGCATTTTGGGTCATTTCCAGTTTACATAATTGTTTGGTTCAACTGTTTGTTATATGTTAAAAGAAAATATTGATTAATTCTTATTCTCCTTCAGAAAATTGGACTCATGCAGGGAGAGGTGGCCTTGTGTACTGTGTGCGTAAAGTTGTGTTTAAAAAAAAATGTCTGTAAACCTTAGTGTAACTTTTTAGCAGCTGGTCTAGTACCACACTCATTGCAGTATTCTGAATAAAGAAGTCTGCTGTCTTTTCACATCTCAGCAAGTAAGAATGATGATTTGACTCTATAACCAGCTTTAGTCAAATGAGTTTTTATTATTTGCTCTTCTGCCATTTGGAAAATAATAAAATCCCATTGGTGGGTTATTTCAGAAAGTAAGAAGTTCTAATTTGAAAAGAAATCTCCTGCCCTTCAAAACAAAACAAAATAAACAAAACTTGATAATAGTAACAGATCTTTTCTGTCCTTTTTCTGTGTGGAAGGTGAAAAATAATTGAAATTGACAATAACAGATTTTAGCTCTTTAAATAATCAGCAATGTTTAAAACGCAATATTTAAAAATTTGTTGTTGAACCAGTCGTAATGGTTCAGCTGTCCCAGCTTTGCTTTTCACTTCCACAGGCTGTAAATTTACTTTAAAAATAATCAAAACTCAGCTTAGTTTACAGTTGCATCAATCCATGAACTGAAGCATTAACTGATCAACCAACATGAATCATGAGTTCATAATAAAATAAGCAATATTACACTAAGAAATTACAAATTAACCTACATATTCAGTCCAACTGTATGTTTTAGCAGAAATTTGTTTTGTAGCTGGCAAAATTAATGTAAAAGGGACAGGTTGTATTACTGCTGACACAAACAGGTTGCGAGAAATCTCACTGATAGCAAATAAATGTTTTTGAAATAAGGAAGCTTTTTTCTTTTACTGAAGGACTAGATGAAAATAAGGTTCCCCTACATTTATATCAATGGACTTCGCCCAACACTTGCCCTTTTTTTAAAAAAAAGAACCAGTTAAATAACTTAGGTTCATCTGTATAAGCCACAATTTCTACCTTTGCACCCATCATAGTAACTTTTCCCTTCACCAAATTCTTCAAGCTGTGCAGAGAATAGACACAAAGGAAAGAAAAACACGTTACTGAAGGAAGCTCTGGATGGTCAGGGACCAGGCTGAATCAATACAAGAAAAAATAGCTAAAATCTATATATCTCAAAAAACAACCAACCAATGAACGACAACAATATCAAAAACTGAAAGCCCAAACCATACAAGAACTCTTACAGAATCACAGAATCACACACAGAATCATAGAATGTTACGGATTGGAAGGGACCTCAAAGGATCATCTAGTCCAATCCCCCTGCCGGAGCAGGACCACCTAGATCAGATCACACAAGAACGCGTCCAGGCGGGTTTTGAACATCTCCAGAGAAGGAGACTCCACAACCTCTCTGGGCAGCCTGTTCTAGTGTTCTGTTACCCTTACTGGGAAGAAGTTCTTCCTCATGTTTAAGCGGAACCTTCTATGTTTCAGCTTATATCCATTTCCCCTTGGCCTGTCATTGGATGCCAGTGAGAAGAGCCTGGCTCCATCCTCATGACAATCACCCTTTACATATTTATAAACATGAATGAGGTCCCCCCTCAGTCTCCTCTTCTCCAAGGTAAAGAGACCCAGCTCCCTCAGCCTTTCCTCCTTTACTCAAACAGCTTCCCTTTAGATTTCTGGTCTTAGGAGATGGAAATGCTCCTTGCAGGCTGGACAGACACTGAGAACCATGGAGCTTTTTTATTAATGAATTTAGCTTAGTAATGTCAACCAAAAGACAGAGACACTGGGTATCATCTTGTTAATTAATGTTCTGTTTGAAGAGGGAGTTCCCTTCTAGACTTTCACACTGATGGGATGTAGATCCCTAGAAGACACTCCTCCTAGAAGACTTACAAGTGACAATTGGCTGAAATCCTTGCTGTATAGAAATGACACGAAGACAACCACTGATTTTGGTAGAAGCAGGATTCGACTCTTCAATCTGAAAGGCAGCCACTTTTATACTACTCTATAGTATTTGTCTGTATAAAGTCTGGGGGTTTTATTTTGTTTTGAGGAAATGCTATTTGGAGTGGATAAAGACAAAAATTCCTAGTCTCAGATCATTGCAGAATCATAGAACAACCTAGGTTGCAAAGGACCTTTAAAGATCATCTAGTTCAACCTTTTGTGGGAGAGGGAGCCTAGACAAGACTAACTAGCATGCTGTCCTTCCAAAATATTTGAGAAGTTGGTACAAGAAACTGAGTGAAAAATAAATTCCCTTTAAAATCCTGTAGCAACAAGCAACTAAGTGGAATATAAATTCATTCTGTTTTCATAGTACTTATGACTACTGAATTCCCAGAGTCAGATCATGTTGCTTTTATCTTGACCTTTACTATCTAGTGCTCACTCTTCCCTTTAAAACATATGCAGAATGTATTTCATTGATTTCTTCTCACTTGCTTGATTAACAAATTGTGCTGGACTTCTTAAATAATTATGTGACAGCCAGTTTAGTTTGATATATTTTGTTCATCCTTAATATTTAGAAACATATATTACAAAGAAAAAGCAATGAAGACATACTGTGGCTGTATCTTTCTGTCTCCCTGTTCGCTTTCATATTTTGCAGGATACGTGTTGTAGAAATTTCTACAAATTGTTGGACAAGTTTGGCTCAGCAGAGTTGGAATAACAAGTATAAAAGTGCTGAGTCTAATAATCGTGTTAAACAGAACACATGTAGCAGTCACATGCATGAAATTGCTTTGCTAAATGTTAAAGTCAACAACGATTTGCTAAGCGTTTTTTTGCTCTTCATTAATGTGTTTTTTCTCAGTGGTGGGCTTAACCTTGTTCTTTGGCAGAGCAAGTGGAGAAGCAGACGCTGCTCCATATCTGACCTGCTGCAGTAGTTGTCTCTCTGTGCGACCTACAAAGCATTTACTAGACCCCAGGATGAGTTATTGTAGGAAATAATTGGAAATATGATGGTTAAACCTAGACAGAAATGCACCATTATAAGTCTGTTAGAAGTCAAACACATTCTGCATCCTTTTGGAAAATACTGCTTCATACCTCCCTTCCTGTGGAATTCAGATTCAAGTGGAGCCACACTGTACAACTACCTGGAGTTGAGCCACTTTCGAGGACACCGATCTCTTCTTGTAAATCCGTCCTGTCTTCATTTTCTTCTTTGCATTCCAAGCTGGGGCTGTAGTGACGGGGTTTCATTAACAGGGACTTCCTTTTGTTGACTGGAACGCCTGACACCTGTTCTTCGGCTTTTCTCCTCTTAGCCATGGAGCATTTGTAGGCACTGTAAGGATCAACCGCCAATTACAGAGAAAAAAGCAGAGGAATTGAGGGATAAATTGTTTAAAAAATAGCACTATCCTCTAGTTTAATTCTAAGTATAAAAGTGGGGACTGACAAAACATGAAATCACTTGCAGTTTCAGCAAGTTGAGTTTAGTGGATATTTAATTTTAGCTCATATAAAGTTCAATGCAACGGCAAGTCCAATTTCTTTTTGCTGCTGCCAAAATCTGCTTAGGGGAAGGAGGAGGAAGACAAAACCAAAAAAAAAACCATAATGCAACATCCTTAATCCTAAATAAGCATATGCTAATCTAATCCCTGCTCTGCAGTAAAATAAGTACAGCCGGGAAAGGATGAACAGAATTGTAGTCTAGGTTGATAATCCAGAGAAACAGCTAAGGGGAAAAACACATTACCAGTTATACTACAACATCCTAAGCCTTTGGCTCCATTACCTTTACATCAGTATGGATATCCAGTCACACACCTGGAGTTCAACAGCACAAAACGTGTGAAACACAATGTACCCTCAGAAAATTTTGCAGTCTAGGTCCCACTTTCAATATCAGTCTCAAGCGCCGGTTTCATTTAATTAACTCCAGCCATAAATGCCTAGTTTAAGCTCTTCTCAGTTATCTATATCGACTCTGGAAAAAGGCTCCTCCAGAGAGCAATTCATCCCACTTCAAAGTAGATCTATCTGACAAACAGGGTGGGCCATTCCCTGGGAAAGGCCTTGCCCAGTCTGGATACCTAACTTTCAGATGACCTACATGAGAAGAGAAGGCAGTATCTTAAAGAGGAAGATTTTTAGCAAATTTTATATACTTCTTTGAGCTCCTGTAAGATCCACATTTTGATCTGTACATTAATTTGCTTCTACAGATATTTCACAAAGCCCTTGCTGCCATGCAGCTGATCTGTATGATGTATAGATGTCCCATCACATGACACCTCGCTGAAGAGGCCTGGACCTTCGACCCTCTTTTTTAGATAACATTTTGTATAAGTGATTTGGCATGATTTTGTTGTTCTCTCACGCACAGTATTCTAAGAAATGTATGTAGTACAAATAACATTGCTTATATTATATCTGTCAGAGATGAAAAACCTACATATATGAATCTGTGTAATCCACTCAACAGTTTCTTGACCTTAGAAACCCCCCAGGGTGCATTACAAATCTACACAATGCCCTTAGGTGTTGGATTTTACATTTGGCTCATTAACTTAGATGCAAGATTTGCAAAAAATCCAAGTATGCAGAGAACTCTTATTGGTTACACATATTACAAGCTCAACAGCATAAATTAATCCTTCCAAGGTATCTTATGTGCACTAAATTGGCTCAGGTTCCGATTGTTTTGGATGAAAGCATATGACTAACTTGAGCTTTTTGTTAAAAGAAATATCCATTTTTGGCTAAGCATCTTTTTGGCAATCCATCATTGCAAACATGAAGGACATGGAAATACGAAGATCTGCATTTTAGGGAGAATGTTAAAATTCTACCATATGCATCTTAAACACAGTGGATATTCTTGATCTTCGGAAAGCTAAAACGCCATGGGCATCAGGAATACTGGACGCTAAGCACCTGCTGTAGTTGAATATATTATGGCTTCTCTGTTATTTCTCTGTTTATGCATAAAAAGGATAACATGAATATCATATTAAAGGTCAGAATCACAACAGTACAAGAGTCCCCTTGGAAATGATGATGTATAACAGACATCAGGGATGGATGTAGAGTAGACAAGTATGCACCATTTATTTCTAAGAAAATATAATAAGAAATTTCTTAATTCATATTTGTGAACAGCAGTTCATACCATTCACGTTGTTTCAGGAAAATTGAATAAATGGCAAATATTTGAAAACCCTTCACACACAGCTGTTTTTACAAACCAAAACCTTCACCAAGTTTGCTTTTGATCTTTCTCACTTATTTGTCAAGCTTCAAGTTTACCTCTAGTAGCTACTGTGAGAGTGTTTAGGACAAGATGATTTTCCAGTGTTTAATTCCCCTTTGACGAAGCTGCAGCTGTTTCTTACACAAGCATAATTAGTAATTTTTTAGAACAGAAGATCCAATTATATCACCTAGTATGCCCTCCTGTGCAACACAGGTCGCAGAACTTCATCTAACTCTTCAGCTTTAATCCTGTAACTTCTCTGACTGTTGTGTATCTTCCAGTCAAGTTAAGGAAAAACATGATAAGATGGGAAGATGATGGCTGTATTCTTGCTCACTAAGCACATCTTTTTCTAGTGACATAATGTTATAAGCTCACTGCTGTGAGCTGGCTCAATAGCTGTTAAAAACATTGGTGTTTCACCACAACTGTGAAAGATAGCCAAACTCAGATGTTAGCAGATCATGGTCAAGACCAGTGAGGGGCTACTGCTGCCACCTGCCACTGGCAGATCTGCTATGGGAAATGAGAGCACAGGAATTCCATGTGTCTGTAACTACTGTAACTACCACATGTTACAGCAGTAAATCAAAAGCTGCTGCGTCGGTGTCAGGACCTGAGGTCCATAAATCTGCCTGGAAGCACATTGCCCATGTTAGAAAGTTTCTCCTCTATGAAAGACTGATGCATTAGCTTGTCCTTAGCATATCTTTTTCTATACATGAGCGGCCACTCACCCAGATTTCCTCTATAGTTCTTATCATTTAAAAATAAATGAACACATAGATTCAACTTTAAGTAATCATTCCTGACACCTTCCACTTTGATTACAGGAAGATGACAGAATATGGTTGTTGTTTCTTTGCTAGGAAGTGCAAATTGCTCTTCATAGTCTGGGAAGCAATTTTTCGACTCCAGCAGAACATACTCTTGCTTTTACTGGCGACTTTTTACGCTGCTGGGTTTGAGTTTTCACTGGAATCTATTACTTTGCAAGAGTCAGTTTAAAGATCTATCATGTACCAACAATTCCCCTTTTTTTCTTCCTTACAGTACTTAAAAGTAAAAACGACACTAAAACCAGAAAAACAACTTCACAAGTGGTAGCTTTTTCAAGTACTTTTGTATGATTTGTTAGTGGACACTTGAATTTAACTACTATGAAAAGAATTTACTTATGACTTTGTAACATTGATGGCATGTTGATATCACCTTTGTCTTAAAAAGTTTCTATTTCTCTCTTTTGCTTATGTACGTTCACACATACACACATGTGCGTTAGCACAGATTTGTCAAGCTGTAGTTTGTCAAATGGTAAACCTATAATTTAGCTTCTCTATTACTCATCTCATAAATTCAACGTCTAATAGTTTTGTTGCTATTTATCAATGGCCTGCTTGTTGTCATGGAACACTGATTCAGCTGTCAAGGTTATTTGGTAATCTGAGGCTCATAAAACAGGAGAAGCTCTTTTCGTTATGAGCCTAAAGCCAATACATGTTTTTTTTTTCTCCAATTTAACTGTACTTAAATTTTATGAATAATAAATCATTGTAGTACTATCTATAATGAACAGATTTTTTATTATTTTTTTTTTAGTCAATGACTCCCTTACCAAAACCAATCTTGTGTCCTTTACCATAGTATGAGCCAGGAGGCTAAAATCTAAGACATGTAAGACCTGGTTGCATGTGTTGAAAAAAAAAACGCATGATAAATCTTTCATATGTATTTCATTTGTAAATACTTTTTCTTTTTGGAATTTACTGGGTCCTTCTCTTTCCTTTATTTCTACTCAGAATATATCTGGTATGGTGCGGACAGACGCTGATAGGATACAGACAGAACAGTGCATTGGCTCCCGACAACAGAACAACGCCTCAGGAGAAAGAGGGAGGTTTTAAACAGTCCTAACCACATACAGCTTTACTTACTGCTAAAAATTGTCATGCTCGTCTTTTTTTGTAATTGGTTCATCTAAGTGATGTATTTGTCAAGCATTTAACCTGACCTTTAACCATTTTGTAGCCAGCAAGGATTTTTTGTTGTTAATCTGTTATTAAGACTTGCAGATCTCTGGGGATTTTTTTTATTCACAACAGCCTCCTGATTGGTCAAGTGTGATAACAGAGCAAAGAATTGCCATAGTGGGTAAAACCAGGGGTACATTCAGCCTGACAAGTGATGTTTGCTAATGCCTGTAATGGATGCCATGTAAAATAGTAAGAACAGAACACACTGCATCTCATGTACACTTCTAAGTATCAACAAAGAAAATAAATGTCTTTGAATATCAAGACACTTTTACTTATTGTCTAACACTATTTAAGGAGCCGCATGTGAGTTTGTGCAAGAATAATTAGTGAAACATTTTACTTTGTGGAGAAAACAATTTTAAAATCTCGACCTGAATTGCCTGTTCGCTTAACTATACCCCAAAAATAAATATTATATCATTGAATTACAACTAAAGGAGACATCATCTTCTGATCTGCAAAACCATTTAACTTCACACCAGTAGTTAAAAGGAGAAGGTTAGCCTAACTACTCTGTAATCATATTGTGAGTGTTGCCTGCTGCTTTAGGCCATGATTAGATTTTGATCACAAACTTGCAGATGGCATGAGTCATTATGTAAGTCAAATACTATATTTTCCTTGCAGGAGGGAAAAGTTGGTATTCAAAGATTCAGGGACACTTATCACTCACAATTGAACCAGTAGCTTACAAATGTCTGTCATGGTTGGGCTTTCTTCTAAGAATTTCAAGACTGTACTGAATCAGAGGTACTTAAAAGGAACAAAACTTCTGAAGGTATCCCCACCCTAGTCCTCTTCTACGTCTCCTTGTTCTCTAACAAACAGATGAGCTGGGTGCTGTCTAACTCTCTAGCGTAATGGCTTCCAAACTTTTAGGCTGTGGCTGAAAGTATCTGATCCCCAACAATCACAAAAAAGTCCTGAGCTCCTCATAAGCTGATGATGCCCAGGAGAAATTACTAGCACTGGGTATAGAAAGGGGATGATCTACTCCTAGGGTGGATCACATGTCCATTGAAATGACATTGGTGTTATTGTTTATGT